ACATGATCTAGCTAAAATTAGCCATGACTAAGGGCACATCCGTATGCATGTTTAGACATCCATCATTCCCCAGCCAGTCCAGCATTTCTCAGCTAGCGTAGGTCTTTCTTCCTGCCTAAACAAACAGTCCTCTGCATGGTTATCATCAGCTATGGAATCCACAGTTTAACTTCTTAGAAACTTATTTGAATCTGTTACATATTCCTCCAACATCTGGTTATGTCAAACGCAGATTTCATTGAAGCCTCATTTTTTATTCTGTGACATGGAACTCCTAGATTAGTATAAAAATAAATTCCAGTTGAGTTATGCCTGCATGTCTACCATGTTGCCACTGCTAGGTGTTAGGCAATGGGCATTTGCAAGGTTGTACCTTCTCAGGAACCATAGAAGATACTTTTGTATTTTACAGTCATGATTCTGATGCTGGGCCATAGGCATTCTAGTGTGTCCACAAATTTAAGAAGGAAGGCCACAAGTTCTTTGCACCAGAGCTTGAGGGAAATTTGACAGCGGCAGGTGGGGGCGGGATAAGAGATGGCTAGATAGAGAAGGCCCAGTGGCTACTGGCCAGGGAAAACACAAGCCTGACCCAGAAACTTCCTAGCTTCCCAGGGCAGGCATGGAAAACATTGTAGTCCTGGCCAGCTCTTCAGTCTGCAGCCCTGCCTGGCTTATTATGAAAACTTAGCACACACCCAAAGTTCTAGCAGAAGTGGTTCAGATTACACACAAAGCCATGGTAGCTTTTCTTAAACCCAAGAACAAGCAATGGCTACTTGGAGTGGTTTATGGGTAGAGGACTCTGATGACATGCAAAGCCACCTGTGGTTATTAGCATGTGATGCAAACTCTATCGCTGTGCCTCACACCAGTGGTGGCTGGATTTAGGCACCATTTAACCTGTATGTTGGACTAACCTACCAATCTGTAGTCACATGTGGTTAAAAACTGACAAGCTTTCTAAAATACAGCTTTTTCCCCAAGATGGTCTGAGTTTAATAAGCATCACTATTGCTGTTATGTGCCAGCAGGTCATCTCTTACAACCCTATCATTGAAAGCCCTCCAAAATGTCTTGTCCATGAGCTCAAGCAGCACTATTAAAAATATAATTGGACATCAATTACAACTACCCCCATTTAGGCACTGTATCACTTATGCCTAAACCGCCACCCCCTCAACTGTGGAAAACAATATAAATTATCAATAAGCTTTCAAATTATAGTTTGCTTTGCAACATATATATCCTTATTTTAAATTGATGCAAAATAAATGGATAATTGATACATTGATAATTGATTGAGAAAATGTATATAGCACAATATGGAATAGAACAGCCATTGTTAGCCTGATACCTTCCAGATGTATCAGTGCTTCAGTCTTTTACATACTAAAGTTTTAGTGGTGGTTGATTCCAATATTCAGAAAAACATGCTATCTTTAGAGTGATTTCTGGATTGTAACATTTTAGATAACAAGCAGGGGGAAAGGAACTGTTCACTCTTCCCTCATGATAAAAACTTTTGCGTATTGGGGAATAATGCTGCTTACCTTCATTGTTCTGAAAATAAGGTTGGAATTTTGAATAATAATAATAAAAAATCCTATTTCAGCCATTGTTCTCTATTCCTTCCTGCCTTCCCCCCCCCGCCCAAAAAAAAAAAAAAAAAAAGCCAATGGACATACAGCCAAGGGTCCATCTGCACAAGAAGCTGCATGGATCCTTCTTCACACTGAGAAACTACACAAGGAGCATCATTTACTGCCAGCAGTTATGGGACTTATAGGTAAGTCAACAAGCCACAGTGGGAAAAGTTTCTGTTGCAGCCAGTGAGAGGCCTTGCAGAGCTTTCTGTTAAATGCTACTCTGTCCTCCAAAGAAAAACTATTCTTTGAGGAGATAGGGTTTGTACTTATAATTTACAGTGAAACCAGATATTTTATTTTATTATTTTTTGGTAATGCAAGACATTTCCTTTAGGGTTATCAGAGTTGTCAAAAGGTTTTACATGAAAATATTGAGTCACAGTTTCTGTTAAAAAGGAAAGAGGGGGTGCTAAATTCCAATTATAAATTTCAGCTGCTTCAGGCTATGCACTTTAAGTTCTCAACAGTCTTCTGAGATTGTAACACCATGCACCCTTACTTCAGAGCACACTTGATTGAACTCAGTGTGACTCAGAAGTCACATAGATGCACTACATAGATACAGGCTGTAACAAACAATGCATTAAAAAAAAGCTCTTCTGAAGGCAACAATGCAAGTTTGCATTTCTAATAACAAGTTAAATGATCTTACAAAAAATCCCTGCTATCATTTGAGGATGTTTCCTCTGCTATTCTGCATTGTTATTCTGTGAGAGTAGGTAATTTTACATCCAGAAAACTATTTTTCTAATCATTAATTTTATGTTGCCTTTTTGCATGAGTGTACAACTCCTACTGAACCAAACTACAGAATCCAATCATCACAAAGAAGGAGGGACCAACATTTCCATTTCTTTTGCCTTAGGCCTGATTTCATAATCAGAAAAACACTGCACCAAAACATCTATTTGTATACTTAAGAAACCCAGAGTTTAGAATCCTACACTTCTCTCATTCTCATTCTCGTTCTGCCAAATGCACCATTCCTTCACACACATTTGTCTGGCCTTAATGTTCTTTTAAGTGGGAGAATAGCAATCTGTTCATTTGTTTCAGTCCAGCAAAAAAAAATTAAAATTAAAAATCCACCTTGTATGACAATCGATTGTGTCCATGTTCCAATTCCATTCACTGTAGGGAACATTAAATAGGTGGACTGGGCTTACAAAGTTTACTTTAAAATGCTCATCCTTTCTTGGGAAAGATTTGATAGTCTAGTCATCAGGTTATTGCTTTCAAATTAGAATGGTTGAAGCTTGTAAGCAGCTACTTGCTGGTTGCCTTAGTATATTGTGTAGTATTGTGTTCATATGATGAGGCAAGAAAGCTTCACAGAGGTTGATTCTACTGTCAGTTAGCATACATAGGAATGGGCCACTGGTTGATTAAAAACAGTTAGGACAAATAACTTGTAGGTGGACTTAGGTAGAACTACATTTACAGACATCAATACATTTTAAAATGTAACTGCTAAAGTCCAGCTAAACTAAGGACTAATGTACAGAGTCAGCAGATCAAACAACATGTTTTTCCCCAGTCTGTAGCAGAATGTGAATGGGACATGGGAGACTGCGTGTTTAAATTCTTCTTCACAAAAATAGAAAAGCATGTCAGAGAAAATTGTTCAGCCATGCCTTCTTCCTGACACATGCCAATTTTCTATGTGCAAGTAGTTTTCATTCACACATGCAGTTCCCACCTGGAGCTTTAAGTGATATAATACAAGAAAAAAATTAACACTTGATTATGCTAATTATATATATGGGCTCCACTTGACTGGGTGTTCTCCCGAGGCCATCTGTTATCATCAAAAGAACAGGACATAAATGTTTTCACTTCTCATAGCTAGGTTTTATTGACAGGCAAGCATGATTTTGATTTAAAGTATTTTCTTAGCTAGAACACTAATTTGAATTAATAATGTTCATGAATGGGCATAAACTAACCTTGGGTGCTGGTCTTCTTCAATGAGTTGTGTTACACCACTGTAAGTGACAAAAGACTCAGGCCTTCATGATGAAAGAGGAGTTCTCCAGAAAGAAGGGGGGAAACAGAGAAAATGAGAGAGAGAGAGAGAGAGAGAGAGAGAGAGAGAGAGAGAGAGAGAGAGGCGCCTATAGAGCCCAGTCTTTTAAGCAGTTACAGCAACAAAACTGACAAGTATCAATATGTGATTTATAGTTCAGATGATTTCATAGCAGGCTTCCACATTGTAGCTGTACAATGGGAGTGCTAAGCTTGATGAAGGTAGTTCTGTCACTTATTGTTCAGAAATAGCAGCACCACAAAAGTCCATCTTATTGTTTTTAAATAAAGCTCTATATAAAACAAATCCATCTGAGGGTCTCTCCAAGCCACATGATGCCAAATAGAAGCCACAAAAGCACTCTTTAAATGAATACACATGGAATTTCTGATGGCCACCACCTGGAATCTCAAGTATGAATCCAAAAATTTTTATAGAGCTTAAACATATTTTTCTCATGCTTTGCTCACACTCAAAGTCTTCAATCTGTTGTGCACTTGGGCCACAGCTAAACAATAATAAACAATTCTCTACCTTAAAAAAATCCTTTTAAAATGTCAGATATAAAAGTTTAATCACAAGAACCTTCAAACTTTTGTTTTGTTTTGTTTCCTGGGATAAATACCACATCACTGGATTACCAAAAATATGATACAGTATTAAACCTATTTGTTAAGAAAAAGATTTGCATTTTAAGGCTCACCAAGAGAACAAAACCCCACCTTACAACAAAATATTTATTCTGCTAGAAGATTGAAAATACCACATTCACTTCACATACAAGAAAGCCTGTTTTTAAAAATGGAAAATGTATTCTTTATCTAAGTTTCCTAGAGATTTCATGAAGTCATAGATCACAGAAAAAGTGCTCTTTTTTAACTATAAATATAATCATACATCTCAAAAATAGAAATATTTCAGCTTGACACTACAGTACCAATAAATGATTCATTTTCTTCCCTTGGGAAAAATGGGTTTGGATAAATTAATTGTTCAAGAAATGAGCTGCTAAGAAACTACCATTCTGGTTTGCTTTTTACTAAAATAAATTATCTGCAAGCAATGTTAGCTTGGACACGTTAACAGCTTTAAAATCCTCCTAGATAATGGGAGGTATCCAGCTTAATCCTAGCTGGTATTATAAACAGGTGACACACTTGATGTTATGGGAAAGAACAAGCAGTACCCCCACCACCCAACCAACTTGACTTTGCTGCAGACTCCTTTTTAACAGCTACTGTATTTATACATATATTAGATAGCAGTCTTATCCGTCCCCAAAAATCCCATCAAACAAACTTTGTTTCCTTTCTATTTCACTTGTCTTACAAGTCTGTTTCCCTGTTGGTATCCAGGCAGAGTGCATAGAGAGATTTTGTAAGATCTACACTGCTTTTTGCTTTGATAGTGGTTTTTTCTACAGTTTTAGTGCCATTGTTGATCCCTTCAGCATTCTCCAAGTGCACAACAGATTTGTCCAATGAATTTTTACTAGCTCGTCTCTTCAAGTCCCCAGTTGAGCTGCCCTGTGCACTACTTGACTCATGTTTGAGGATAGCCTGATCCTCATGGTCAGTTTCTCGGTGGTAGAAGTAGTTGAAGTTGGACACGATAACAGGAACAGGAAGGGCAATGGTGAGGACACCAGCAATGGCACACAAGGATCCCACAATCTTGCCCCCTACAGTGACAGGTCTCATATCTCCATAACCTACTGTGGTCATAGTAACCACTGCCCACCAGAAGGCATCAGGGATGCTGGAAAAATGTGATTCAGGGTCATCAGCTTCAGCAAAATACACAGCACTGGAAAAGAGAATCACTCCAATAAAAAGGAAGAAGATAAGTAGCCCCAGTTCTCTCATGCTAGCTTTCAATGTCTGCCCCAAAATTTGAAGCCCCTTGGAGTGCCTGGAGAGCTTGAAGATCCTGAAGACCCTGACCAACCGGATGACTCTCAGGATGGCTAAGGACATGGCTTGCTGCTGGCCCCCATTGCTGGCGCTGCCTGATTGCTCCTTCTTCTGTTGCTCTTGAGCCAGTTCAGTGCCCAGGGTGATAAAGTAAGGGATAATGGCTACAATATCAATGATGTTCATGATGTTCCTGGAGAACTCAGGCTTGCTGGGGCAGGCAAAGAAGCGCACCAGCAATTCAAAGGTGAACCAGATGACACAAGTGGTCTCAATGATGAAGAAGGGGTCAGTCAGAGTACTGGGAGGTGGCTGCTGGGTGTCGTCCCTAGAGGTACCATTTAATAGAGGGAGAAGGGGGGCATGGAGCTCCCGCTCATCCCGGAACTCAGGCAAGGTCTCCAGGCAGAAGGTTATGATGGAGATGAGGATAACAAGGACTGAGACTATGGCAATGCCCCTGGCTGAGCTGGAGCTTTCGGGATATTCAAAAATGAGCCACACCTGGCGTTGGAATTCATTGGTGGGCAGGGGCTTCTCCTCCTCCCTGATGAAGCCTTCGTCTTCCCGAAACCGTTCCATGGCCTCCTCGCCTAGCTGATAGAAACGAATTTCATCAGCAAAGACATCAATAGAGACATTGACTGGCCGCCTGAGTTTGCCCCCTGACTGGTAGAAGTACAAGATGCCGTCGAAGCTCGGTCGGTTGCGGTCAAAGAAATACTCATTGCGGAGGGGGTCGAAGTAGCGCATACGCTTCTCAGGATCGCCCAGCAGCGTATCTGGGAACTGGTTGAGGGTGCCCAACTGGGTCTCGAAGCGCAGGCCAGAAATGTTGATGAGGACCCGCTGCTGGCCGTGCAGAATGCTCTCGTCCCCCTCCTCCATGTCGTCTCTCTCCTCGACAGCGGCTGCTGCAGCGGAGCAAGACAGGTTGCTGACTGAGGCGGTCCTGGGCATGGCCATGCCCATGCCCAAGCGGTGCCCCCCTTCCTCCGATGCCAGCGGGCTCAAGAGGAGGCCGCGCGGCGGCGACGCTGAATCGGTGCGTGAGATGATGTTCGGCGAAATGTAGGCTCCCGCCGCCGCCGCCGCCTCGTTGCACGCCCGATCTTCTGGCTGCGGACAACCCTCCTTGCTTCCGCATTCATTCAGCCAGGGCGCCGAGGTGGGCAGCTGGAGTAGGTCCCCTCTACACCGCGGCACCCTGCTGGTTCCACTAGCAGTTCCATCCTCGCCTCCTCGCAGGGCTGTGGTGCCTCCGTTCTCCAGCGTTACCAGCGCGATCTCCATGAGAAGCAGCCGCCGCAGCAGCATAAAGAGGCGGCCAGCATGCTGCGCTATCCTTCCGCACGGCTGCCCGTCCAAGCCGGCCACCTCCAGGCTGTACTGTGAGCCTCCTTCCCCGTCTTTTTCCAATGGCGCGCACAGTGCTCCGACACCAGCCGGGGAACCCGGATCGGAGGTTGCTTGCCTATTCCTGACGTCAAAAGAGGATCTCGCTTTCACTCCATGACAGGCGCAAGAAATGCGCGGGGGAGGGCAGGGCTCTCGGTTGCTTTGATCTTCCCATCTCCCCAGCGTAACTACTGCCTTGGCAAATCCGAGCGCTCCAACAACCAGCTCAAGCTCAGCCCCCTGTTGCTCTGCTAAGCAAAAAGTCCTCCCCCATTACTCCTGTCCCGAGAAAGAGGAAGAGAAGCCCCCGCTTCTGGTGGGGTTTCCTGGTCACTTCTCCGCTCACGGAACGAGACTGAGTCTCTGCCAGCTACAGAGCAATCGATCTATCAAATTTATCGCTATCCTTCTCAAGGTTTCCTCTCAGTCAGCTTCTCTAAGGTGAATCTCAGTGTCCCCGAAATAACTGCACTTCTGCTTCAGTATGGAGGAATCGAGGAATTCTGCTCTAAGGAATGGAAGAAAGGAGGCTCCCGAAGAAGTCCGAGTGGTGGAGTGGGGGGTGGGGTTTGCCTTTCTCAGGAGAACGCAGTGGGGGAGGGGAGAGTCCGAGGCTTCCTAGGGGATAATACTGGAGATTATCACTGCTCTCTTGTGATACTGCTCTCGTCAGCCAGGGCACAAGGGAGGATTGAGTGTATACTTGTATCTAATGAAACCAACACTGACGGTTTGCCAATAGAACTTCAGCAGTGCAGAAATGGGAGTTTGGAGTGAAAATCCAGGTATCCGTGCAAATTATTCGAGTTTGTGAATGCACACGAATGTAGCATTGTTTAAGTGCTCAAAGTGTTCGATATGTATTATCAGAAGTAATCCTTAACAATAACCCTGTAAGGTAGGTCAGTATTTCTAATTCTTTATCGCATATGATATTGTTGCGAAAGAGATGCTTTCCATAGACTCCACCTAGTGAGTTCTCAACTAATGTGAAATTTGAACCAGAGACTTTCCAGACCAGAGTGCATACAGTCCAGTCCTGCTCATATGTTCTATCTCATTCAGGAAAAGTGAGTGGAATTTTAGCTGCAGTGAGTACAATTTACAAGCACATCCCTCCAGCTACAAAATTCTGTAGTTTTAAACAGTTTGAACACAAGAATTAAAGCATGTATTATTCCTTGTTTCTTAGGAAAGCACGTAATCTTCTGATACTGTGTGCATGGACAGTACTTAACCTAGTTAAAACACACACACACCAAAAGATTACAGTGCAGTCTGGCTCCATTCATGGATTATTTGTTAAAGGGATTTGGGAGCGGCAGGGGGTGGGGTGGCAGATATTCACTGTGAATGCCAGTCCTCATTTACACAGTAAGACTCAAAAGTGTTTAGCAATGCTATATGAATATGAACAGTTCCTTTTCAGGAATAGTAGAAGGACTTAGCTGTTTCTGATTTTAGCTCCCTAAGGTGGTGTAGACTTATTGAGGCCTGATTTTGGGATACACTTGTTTTAAATTGAAAGCTTCCTGTTTACCGAGACAGCCTATAATGGACATTAAAAAAAAGGAAAATCCACAATAATTTAAGAACTCTTCCTCCTAAAAGTTGATTTAATAAAGGGCAATTTCCTCCACCTGCAGCTCCAAGAATGAAAACAGTAAAATGGATGGAATGTTCAAGGGAAGCTTTCACAGAACATTAGAAGTTGCTTTTGCTGCATAGCACTTGCCTGTGCATAGGTGTTAAAAATACTGGCAATGGGGTTGGGCGTAGCTGGATAATATGTACCATGTTACATTTTATTAATTCAATATGCATTACTAATTAATAAAATAATACAATACAATGTCAATACAATTATTGATTCAATAATGATATTGCATTATGTTAAGTGCTTGTATGGCACTGCTTCTGTAATTCTACCTCCTGCTAATTGTGGAAAATACCTCAGCAGTGCTAAAGAGAGTCTAGGGTGGATTATACTGATTGTAGTGGGATGTTTTCCTTTAGAGGTGGTGCATTCATTGACTAGCTTAAAAGATAACTTTTTCCTTTATAAGACTTCTCACCACAGAGGCTGGCGATTCCTACATTACTGCATATGCTCATCCGGTGCAGCTTCTATTATGAACTTTATAGGAGCTATCCATGGTGCTCCGTGATGGTGAATGTAGTTTGAAGTTGAAATTGAGCACTATAGATAGCTGCTATAATACTAAAAATAAAAACTGCACTGTTTCAATGAGTATCCTTGAACATTAGAGCAGGGTGTTAAGGCTTTGGAACTATTCCCTCGCAGAGGTTCATCAATATTCCCCTCCATTCTCTTTTTCTTAAGAAAAGAAGCAGCAGCAGCAAAGGACACTTTTTAATGCAAGCAACTGCTGAAAGTTGTGAAGCTGATATCACTGCTGCCTATTATTTTCTCTTTTGCCAATGCTGCTTTTAAAAAGTCCTCTTAAGTTAGGGCAATTAGTGAGTGAGGAATACAGGGAAGACAGAGGCAAATCACCCTTTTAATCCCCAACCAGGGCAGAATGTAGAGTCATGCATTTAAAATTAACCCCTATTGACAGTAATGGAAAGAGGAGAATTAACTGTACCAGCTCCTGGGCTAGGGCAACTGATGGGTCCAGGCTAGCTCCAACAGAGGAGAAGACTAGTTTTGGATCCAACAAGGATAACTGGCTAACTTCCACCTCAGCATACTGCACATAAAGGTTTTCCATCTGCTTGCTCAGCAGCAGCTTTCTACCCACTCAGCAGGGCTGAGTCCCTCCCACCACCAGACTGCCTCTGCCAGTGGAGAAGCACCAGTCAGCCAACTTAATTTCCAATGTAGTCATCAACACTGGTGGTTGATGAATTCCAGAGAATAGCTAGAAGAGATAAGAAGGCCTTCTTAAATGAACAGTGCAAAGAAATAGATGAAAACAATACAATAGGGAGGACCAGAGATCTCTTCAAGAAAATTGGAGATATGAAGGGAATGTTTCATGCAAAGATGGGCATGATAAAGGACCAAAATGGCAGGGACCTAACAGAGGCAGAAGAGATTAAGAAGAGGTGGCAAGTTTACACAGAAGAACTATACAAGAAAGATCTTAACATTCCTGATAATCACGATGGGGTGGTCAGTGACCTCAAGCCAGACATCCTGGAATGTGAAGTCAAATGGGCCTTAGGAAGTCTGAGCAACAACAAAGCTAGTGTAAGTGACAGTATTCCAGCTGATCAGCGCAGATGGGGACTGCAGCCAAGAAATTAAAAGACACTTGCTCCTGGGGAGGAAAGCTATGGCAAATCTAGACAGCATACTAAAAAGCAGAGACATCACCCTGCCAACAAAAGTGCATATAGTCAAGGCTATGGTTTTCCCAGTTGCAATATATGGCTGTGAAAGTTGGACCATAAGGAAGGTTGAGCGCCGAAGAACTGAGGCCTTTGAATTGTGCTGCTGGAGGAGACTCCTGCGAGTCCCTTGGACTGCAAGGCAATCAAACCAGTCAGTCTTAGAGGAGATCAACCCTGACTGCTCTTTAGAAGGCCAGATCCTGAAGATGAAACTCAAATACTTTGGCCACCTAATGAGGAGGAAGGACTCCCTGGAGAAGACCCTAATGCTGGGAACAATAGAAGGCAAAAGAAGAAGGGGACGGCAGGGGATGAGGTAGCTAAATGGAGTCACTGAAGCAGTCGATGTGAGCTTAAGTGGACTCTGGGGGATGGTGGAGGACAGGAAGGCCTGGAGGAATGTTGTCCATGGGGTCACGATTGGTCGGACACGATTTCGTGACTAACAACAACAGCCATCTGAGTGCGATGATGTAACTTGGTGTCCTGCAACAGCCGGGGGTTGGACCCAATGGCCTTCAGGACCCCTTCCAGCTCTACTATTCTGTGATTCTATGATGCTGTGTATGAGGGCATCGTCATGGCCTGCACAGAAGCAATAGTCCAGCAGACTGAGGCCATCTGAATGATTATGGCGACCCTTGTACTCCCTGCAAGACCTGTTTTAGGCCTTCCACTGTAGGTTGCCAGAGCAACCGATCCACCTGCTGCCAGTTCTACTCCTGAAATGCCCCCCCCATTACCACCATGTCCCATGTCACCCACTCTGTGGTACCAGGCTCAGCCTCCTGCCTTTACCAGCCTTGGTGGCCCAGCACTCATTCCATATGGCCCTCCTCCTCCCACTATCTTCCCCCAGCAGTCCATCCTTGGACTCCTGATCATCCCACAGCATCTTGTGGAAAGTGTAGTAGCAATTTCAGAGGGAGAAAGTTTCTTGGGATAGTCAGTTGCAGGCCAGTTGCACCTGCTGCTGCTGTCATTGTGTCTTGGGTCTGACGCTGTTGACTTCTGGAAGGAGAAATGGCAGTAGGGGCCACCTATCATACCCTCTTTCTCCCCAAGCATTAACTTTTGAACATCAGCCCTGTATGGGGTAAATTCCAAACCACTGTCTCCCTGTGTTAATG